TGGCATGCATCAATGTCCACAAGATCACAAGTAACAGAGTCATGATATGTCTTTCCTAGTGATAGTGGCACACGGCATTTATAGACTTTGCTATATATGTGTGCATGATGAGTAGATGATTTTGACTTTGACTTGACACACATATTCATAAGCTTCTTATGGTTGTTAATGCATGTATTAAGAGTTGAATCTAAAGAAGAAATACGGTTTTTAACATTGTTCAACTCATCATTAGGCATATTAGCATTAACTTTAGAAGTAGAACATAAATAATTATTTATAAAAGAAGCAGTATTATTTTTTATGTTCTCTACTTCTAACATGGTATTATCTTTTTCATGAGATAAGCTAGTTATAGATGTGGTTAATTTTTCATTTTCCAAAATTAACATGTCATTGTTTTCTTTAAGCATGGTATTTTCTTTTGCAATGACATCCAATTTTGACACTAGCTCCTCATGATTGGATTCTAAATTATCATGCTTGCTTTTTAAATCAATAAAATCTTTATGTAATTTGTTATAGGCATGCAATAATTTTTCAATAGCACAAGCAAGTTCATCACTAGATAAATCATTAATGGATTCGAACTCGCAAACTTCACTAGGGCTATCGCTTAGTGGCCATGTGCATGATGAAGCTCCACATGAACTTGAAGCCGGATCCGCCAAAGCTTGTTGGATCGCCTCCAAGTCCCCTTGATGTGCTTCAATAAATTTTCATAAGGTATAAGCACTATCAAAATGAACAAACTTGTTAGACATAGATGAATTAAAGGCATTTAGCAAATATTCTAACAAAATATTGTTCATTGTAAACATACGATGATCATTCTTATTCCACTTGGATTTCTCCAAAGTGGGCACAATATAAGCATCATCTATAATTTCCCATAAATCAAAGTGTTTAGATTGAACAAAAAGTTTAAATCTAACACACCATTGGGCATAGGGGAAATTATCTAATCTAGGAGCAATATTAATAGCATAACCTAAACCATGCATATCCATAATATAAAAGGCAAGCAAGATACAAATAAAGCTCAAAATTAGATTAGCACAATAAGCTAACTTGGATCTTTAACTCAAGGCGATTAGACCTTAAATCAAAGAGCACCAAGCTCTGATACCAATTGTTAGACCCTAGAGGGGGGGTGATTAGGGTCTTATGCTAATCTAATCCGATTAAATGCCAATTAAAATTAATTAACAAGTTGTATTCTTGCAAGATAGATATACAAGAGTTATAAGCAAGAATAAGCAATATACAATATGATATATCCTAGCAAAGAGATATATAGCAAAATATATATGCAAGGATATATAAACTAACACAAGGGATGCTCACCCGAATAACGTTTACACCTCACAGTGTCGGTTTTCAACGCTCACCGAACAACGTTCACTCCTCACACTCGGTTTTCTAGTTCACCGAAAACTTCACAATTCACACTCTCACAATGTCGGTTTTCAACGCTCACCGATCAACGTCTACACCTCACACTCGGTTTTCTAGCTCACCGAAAACTTTACAATCTCACAATATAACAAGTGATTTGTTCTCTACAATGGATGAGAACTCAATGAAGCTCACTCTCAATTGTTACAACTCCTCACAACCCAAATTATACTAAGTATGAAAATACAATAAGCTCAATGGTTGTGTGTGTAAGCAATGAGATAAAATCAAATCTAAACTCAATATAAAACTAGCTTTAATAGAAATGATAATCAATAAATAATTAATAAATAAAAGCTAGGAGTAGAGTTTAGAAAACTTCTCAATAGATGACAAGATGGAGAGATGAAGATTGAAGCCCAAACAAGAAGGTGATCTCCTCTACTTGTGAAAACTTCTTCATAAACCAAACAAATAGTAAAACACACTTAAACCCTTGTTTAAAACTTTTTTAAACTTGTTTAAAACACTCTCATGGTGTATATATAGAACTGAGATCAAGAGGGTATTTATAGCCTCTCAAAACCTCAGCCAAAAACCCCAAACAAAAGACCAAAAAGAACACTCTGCAACAGCTCTAAAACTAGCCGTTGGAACTACGGCGGTCAACCGATGAAAATCGCGGTAGACCGAGAGCACGGTAAGAAACGAAGAAAAGTTCCAGACAGTTCGTTGGTCGACCGGAACTGTATCACGGTCGACCGAAGGTACTGTAGCAGGTATATCCAGTTTTATAAAATCAGTTAAAAATAGTAAAACAGATCCAAAAATTATGAAATTTTGTGGGAAAGTTCTAGACATGTAGAATGACATGTTAGAGAAAGAATTTCTGAAAAAACATTTCTCATTTGAGATAAATAAATGTTTGAACACAGAAATACAGTTTCTGAAAATCTGCTGACATACACGATTTTGTAAAATTAATTAGGCACAGTAGATCAACTCCAAAAATAGTAAAATTTTGAGGAAAGTTTCAAAACATGTAGATAAACATGTCAAAGAAAGAATTTCTTGAATATCACTTCCCATTTATGAAAAATCATCTGTTTTGTAAAACATGCATGAACATGTGCACGAACAAGAACATGATTTTGTAAATTCCATTAAACATAACAAATCAATTCCAAACTTGATGAAACTTTACAAAATGTTTATAAACATGAAAACAAAAATTTTACAAAAATAAATTTTTAATTTTCATTTCTTAATTGTGAAAACTCATCATTTTGTAAAAACATGCATGAATATGAATTTGTTAAGAACATGTTTTTGACAAAAAGAGTTTAAACGCATATTGAAACTTTATGAAATGTCTTCATAAACATTATAACACATGAATATAAAGTAAACATGGTCAATAAAACAATATCACAAAGTTTTCTCAAAATAGCTCATTTTGTGAGAAAATCCAATATTGTGTGTGTATATGATATTGAGCTTAGAGTACTTAACACACATAATATAAAATCTAAACTAGATTACCCAAGCTTGATGAAGGTCTTCAATGAGCATGACTTGGTAAACTTGCGGATGAAGCTGAACTTGGATCTTGAACTAGAATTGCATAAGCTTCACCGACATTCCGCCAACCTCCTTTGGATATGATCGTTGAAGCTCTATTCCATCCATCCTCCAACAACGTTGTTTGTCTACAAAACATAGGAATGCACAAACACTAGACAAACAACATTAGTAGTAAATTGTTTGTAAATCATCATCAAAACAAGAAGGCCAACAGATAAATCTCACTTATTTAAAGTAATGAAATAAATATAAAATAATATTTTTTAATATTTAACCACGTGCATTACAAATATCCTTCATCTTTCATGAAATTAACCAATTTACTCTATGATCATAACTCCCAATCTTATTAAATCACATTAATTAAGTGTTTATACTATAGTATAGTTATTCTTAAGATTATTAAATAAATAAATCAATTATTATAATAGTATTAGATTATCAAGTGTATGATGTTTTAATATACTATAGGAATTAATATTTATGTAATAATGCAACTCCAATTAGATTATAATAGTACAAAATTATATTAAACATTAGATTTTTAATAGTATAAGATTATAATTAAACATTAATTTTTTTAGTGCTTATTAGCTACAAATAATGTTTATATCTCATCTAGAGTGGTTTTAAATAAAAAGTAAAATAATTAATTGTGTAACTCTAATTAAATTAATAAATTAATCATTATTTAATCAACTTGTTAACAATAGCTTGGTGTTTATATGCACATATGTAAAGGCATAGATGAAATGTTTTATTCAGACTTCAATAGTTTATAATACCCAAGAGACACAAACCAATATAGAAAATAGTTCACACTTCTCTAATTCTACCTTAAGTGGTCCCCACAAAACTTAGATATTCTAAGGAGTGAAAATTTGATCTTCTTCTAATGGAAACATTTCATAAAGAAGAAAATTAGCAGTTTGGAAAGTTTCTTTTCGTGCATTAACACTTTTAACAAGTGAGCTCCTCTTGATACATCCAACAAATTATCACAAACCCATCCAACATCCATCTGTTTCATTTCACTCCGTGTATAATCTCCTTCCTAGGTCCCCCTCTCCCACTCTTCACATAACAAATACTAGGTCAAATCAATCATATCATACTCTCTTTAAAAGCACGAGTTCGGAAAAATCTTTTGATAGACAAAAAGACCATTGAAATTCAAATTAATCCATTAAGTAAGAGTAAGTTGATAAATTGATGAATTCTTATTGGATATACATAGTATGAAGATAATGATATAGTTTAAATTGAAATGTAAACTTAAATAAATTTATTAAATGCCAAATTTATAAATATATACAAGATGAATGGCGTATATGCACAAACCAAACAAATTAGTGAGTCAAATAATGTCCGCTGCATAGGTCGAACCCCAAAACAACGCAGACCTAGAAATGTACATAATGTGGACAGAGTATTTGCAAAATCTACCAAACAAATTAAAGAGATAAAATCGTTTTGAAAATTATAAAAAAGGAAAATTAAAATAAACAGTTGCGATATAAGGACACAATGTGGCGATCTCTCACCAACTAAAATTCAAGTAGTTCACGACACTACATAATTAGTTTCAAAGTTTAATTATACTATTATTATTTAAATAGAACTCTATTTACATTTGTTTTTCTCTCACATGCAACATCACATACCAATGTTTATATGCCAAGAAACTACAACAATTTTCGTAGCACTTTTATCTCCTTCTACATGTATTTGTCTTTGTTATTTTCTTCTTATTAGATTAGATTAGATTATTTTAAAACAATTAATTATATTATATATTTGATTTTTTTACTAATTATACTTATTCTAAATATAATTAGTTTTGCATGCTAAAATATAATTATTGTTGGACATTTGTTTTACTCTCATATATATATATATATACAGAGAGAGAGAGAGTGATGAGAGAGCAGAGGAGAGAGAGTAGCAGACGAGAGAGATGAGAGAGAGCAAAGAGAGAGAGAGAGATGGTATACTGGTACCAAGGATCCTTGGTAGTGATGTGGAACTACATCTTGTCATTACATCCACAACCTTTGAAGATGGAGCTCACCAACTTCAAGGTGTGATGTCATGCCGACAAGATGTGTCCACTATCACTACCAAGGATCCATTGGGCCCAAGTTATACCATATTCCTCGATATATTATATATATATATATATATATATATATATATATATATATATATATATATATATATATATATATATATATATATATATATATATATATATATATATATATATATATATATATATATATATATATATATATATATATATATATATATATATATATATTCCACAGGACTACATATATCTTGAAAATGAACGAAGAAAACCATAAAAAAACCATAGTAATTACCCACACACATCCACTATTTTCAAAACCACCATTCTCCATCTCCATCTATTATATATCCACATATCAAATTAAGCTGCTGGAGTTTCCCCTCACAAACTACACCATTCTCCATCTCCTTTGTACTTAAATTGTATAACATTCATTATGATGAGGACTCACATGAGTTCTTTGCCTGTCTTGAGCATCCAAAAAAAATAATGTGTTAAGCATTGTAGTTAGTTAATAATGAGATCCTATCATTATAAACAAACTAAATAAAGATTAATAATTCTTAAGAATGTACTATGTTACCCTATCTTCCCTTGCAAACTTGTTAGTTATTTATTCCTGGCCCGAAGATATTTTCAAAATTAATCATCTATTTCATAAAATATTTAAATAAAATTTATGGAAAATGTAACAAACCATATTTATAGATTTTAATTCAAAATGAATCTGACTTATTTTATAGTAAGAAAATAAACGAAAAATAATAATTTTGATATTTAACCACGTGCATTGCACGTGCACAAGAACTAAAATAAGCATAAAAATGAGAGAACAAATTAAGACCACTATTACAAAGGTGCCCAGCCCCAACGGGTGGTGGGAACCCCTTGTCCCTAGGGGTGCCAAACGGTTCGGATATATCCGAGCCGATCCGCATCCGAACGAATACGGATATGATAGGCTAATTTTGAAACCGGGCGGATACGGATACGGATAAGGATATGGTTTCGGATTTTTTTCGGATACGGATTCGGTAACGGATATGAGGGTTACGGATAGGAATATCCGCAATATAGTAGTGATTTGGGTAATCGGGTCTCAAATTCATATTTACAAACCCGCTAACCCAAAACCAAAACTTCAAAAAAACCCTAGGCCCTCACCCTCTCTCATCAGGCCGCCTCCACTCACTCTCCACTCCAGCCCTAGGCCGACTCTCTCTCTCTCTCTCTCTCTCTCTCTCCAGTCTCCACTCTCCAGCCGTTCGCCTCGCCAGCGACAGCGATCAGGCCGCCTCCACTCTCCAGCCGTTCGCCAGCCGTTTGCCAGCCGTTCACCAGCCGTTCGACAGCGATTCGCCAGCGATCAGGCCGCCTCCTCTTATTTCCGGCGATCTCACAGTCGCCACTCGCCAGCGAAGATCAGCGAAGGTTGGTCAAAGAATCGTTTCATGCTCTTATTTGCCATTTTCATGCACTTTTCCTTCAAATTTCTAGTGGGTTTTTTGTTTTAGTTAATACCCACTCAATAATTTTCTTAATAAATCTCTTTTTAGTGGTAAAAATTGGATTTTTTTGCTGCTGAGTGCTGATTCTTGCCCTCAGGCCGTCGCCCTCACCCTCAGGCCGTCGGATCTTGCCCTCAGGCCGTCGGATCTTGCCCTCAGGCCGTCGGATCTCGCCCGCTTCGTCTTCGTCGGAGCCTTCGTCTTCTGCATAAGGTCGAATCGAAACTCTGCATTAAATTCATTGACAATATCTTGTTTCATATGTATAAGATTTTTGATTAAGTTTTTTTTAATTTAATAAGTTGGTTTGTATGAACTTATTGTGTCGTGATTGTCTGAAATTTAGTCCTCTTGTGAAATGTTGTGTCATGGACCATGGTCGTCTTGTGAAATGTTTGTGCCATTGGTTGTGCTACTGAAGGTTTTGGATGAAGATTATGTCTAATAGATTTGTGCTCAATTTTAGTAATTCTAATTATATGTGAATTCTAATTATACGTGAATATGGTTAGTATTTCTAGTTATGTCTAATTAGATTGGTTGTAATTCTAATTATACGTGAATATCCGTGATCATATCCGATCCGATTCTTAAATATCCAATCCGTATCCGTTTCCGATAAGTGCGGATATGGTTAGTATTTTTTCTTACCGAGAGTGATCCGTATCCGTATCCGTTTATAAGAAGCGGATATGGATATGGTAAGTGTCATATCCGAACCGTATCCGCTCCGATAACACCCCTACTTGTCCCTCCTTAAAAAAAAGAAAAAAAACACAAAAGGCCCATGTGAACCCCTTTTCTTCTTCGTTCCCCCTCTATCAAAAAACCCCAAATCTCCTTTGTCGCCGCTCAGAGACTTCCCACCACTGCCCCTCGGAGATCGCCTCCGTCGTCGCCGCAGCTTCTCGGAGATCCCCTCTTTTTCGGGAGATCGTCGCCGTCGCTGCTCAGAGATGGCCGCTGCCACCACCGCCACTCTCTCCCCTCAAAATCCTAGCCTTCGCCACCATGAACTGCAGCCACGCCGCTCTCTCCCCTCTTTTCTGCTGCTCGGAGACGGTCACTGGAAACCCTAGCGCAGAGGATCCGGAAACCCTCGCCTCATCGGCGTCTGCTACCTCCCACAACTCTACTTCCCTCTCGGGTGTGGCTAAACCCTGGCAATCTTCAAGCCCTCGATTTCTGTACCGTCATCTGCCGATGCGACTGCGAATAGGTGAAGAATCAGGCATTCTGCCGTGCAGATGATATGTCCACAGGTCGAAAAACCCTCTAATAACTATTCCTTTATTTGTTTCTTGTGCTGATTTGAAGGTCTGAAAATTGGTGGATCGACTTTGTTAGGCGCCGAAGAGGGACTCCTGATGCCGCAAACGGGTGTGGGGTAAAAGCCCATCATCTTTGGTTTCTTAACCAGAGTAAGAACATTTTTCCTATTTGTATAATCTTCACTTTGTTTAAAATTATTGAGATGATAATATGGAGATCGCATTGTCACGGATGATATGTGAATATAGCTTTGATAGATAGCTCGGTTCAAGTTTAACGAGCTTTTGTTTTGTTGATGGATCAGTTAACTCATGAAAGCTTCAAGTTTTACTTACTGCAGAAACAGATTGTAACCTTGTTCCAGATAGCTCTATAATCACCACTTGAAATTGTGGCATGAAACTTCGAGATTACATGTATGCACCCTTCTTGAATCACTGGTTCGAATCGCAAAATTTCTGTGTCTTTAACACTTCCCTGTATGAACTTTATCCTAGTAGAAACTAACATATTCCTTATTATAAATTCTATTAGCAAATTGGAAGTTGAGTGTAAGAATTTCAAAGAAGTACAACACATATTCCTTATTATAAATTCTATTAGCAAATTGGAAGTTGAGTGTAAGAATTTCAAAGAAGTACAACAAAAATCTATTTGTATGTTCATCCAATAGCGTGATTTGCAACCCAAAAATATGCCAAATTTTAACATTAACACTTTCAACAATCACCATTTGTACTTTAGTGTTAAGCTCACTTGATGGGCTATAAGCTGATATACTCATCTTTCCTCAAATTGATCCGTATATGTAACATATCATTTAGTATTTGATGTTCTAAACAAATTAAAAAATTTATGCACATACAATTGACTTATGAATGTTAAACATAGAACAAAATGTTCTAATGATTTAATATCATAATTTCCATCCAATATTTTTAATGTTAAATGACTAATGAATAGATAAAAATAATTCATGTTATTACAGAATATACTCTATAATCTATGTGCATTGTAATACTATAACAGTTGACAGAATATACTGAATATAACAGTTATCATATGTATTAATACTCTATACTATGTGCATATTATTTTATTATATAATATCACGTTTGTTAATGACGAAATAGGTAGTGTGATATAAATTTCTTTGTATACTACATTGTCACTATTCCTCTCACTGCTTTTGTCATCATTCACTACAAGAATTTTAAGCCCATTTGGTGATGCTACTCTAGATACAACAACATAGAATTGGCCATGTATAAAACATGGTTTAGGTAAATACAGACCCACATATTTAAGAGTTTGGCCTTGACTTTTATTTATCATCATTGTGAAACAACGCTTGATTGAAAGTTGTCTTCTCATATTGAATGGATATTTTGAATCGATGTTGGTACTAATTATCCTTGAAACAAAATGTTTCAAAACCTATGTTGCTGCCGCTTATGATCTTTGCTTCTATAACCCATTTAAGAAGCTGTGTGACGATCAATCTTGTTCCATTACAAAGCCCTTCACTTGGACTTAAGTTACAAATAAGCATTATAAGAGTTCTTACTTTAAGTTTATTTCATAAATTAGCATACCTAGAAAAGATAGTGAATTAAGGAACTCAGTAGGATATTGGCTTTCATTTCTTGAAGACTTGGAGATGTTTGACAAATTGAATCAAGCACTCAGATATGTTGTGTTTTCTCCTTCTAATTTTTCTAATATGATATCATTAATAATCTCCACTATCTCGTTTCTAGATATTAAAAATGCTCTTTCTGCTAGATAATTTGTATTACTATGATTTTGAAGGAGATTTGTACATGTTATAAAAATGATATCATCAACTAGATTCACATTCATGTTAATCAACAGCTCTGCAGGTGTTTCAATTTTACAATCATTTGGATTTTCTTCATGCGTCTCATGCATTATAAACCCATTTCCTATATCAAACACCTAGTTACCAAATTTAGATGCGCTCATACAATCTTCACTGTCAGACTGTTGCTGAATTCTCATGTTCTTTTAAGGGTGAATGCCCTGCATTGTTGCCATACTGGTGAACGACTGATGCATGAATATATAATATCATGCTTACTTCCTTGTGGTACAACTGGCAAAATTTGCCTAAAATCTCCACTAAGGACCACAGTCATGCCTCGGTCTCCCAAAACAGAACAAATGTTACAGGCATGTACATATGTATGTATGCAGGCATGTATGCTTGCATTCAGTAAAATGAACCTGCTAATATCAACTATAAGGTATTTTTGCATGCCTAACCAAGTTTACATACACAGAAGTTACTAATATATTTTCTTTGCATACTTGACATACACAAACTATTTTTTATTAGAGAATCTAATGTGATTATCGTATGCTGGAAAAACTTATTTTTCTATTTTAATCATTCTAATCCTTGTCGTTGAAAATGGAACGTTGTTGTCTTTTTTATAGGTTATATATAACAGCCTTTTGAAGCTTAATTTTTCTGTTTGTAGTATGGTCGCATAGTGGACATTGAATTGAAGAATCCACCCCCCCACCCCCCGGTTATTGTTTTGTGGAGGTAGGGATTCATAATAATTTCTTAAAACTAAATGATTCTGATCTATTTTACTTACTCATTTTGTGGTTGTACAGTTTGAAAGTGCTCGAGATGCTGATGATGCTGTCAGGGGTCGTGATGGCTATAACTTTGATGGATACCGTTTGAGGGTATACTAAAAAAATTCTTTCCTATGTTTGCTCAAACCCTCATCTAATTTGGAGGCAAATGGTTCTCTGTAGGTTGAGCTGGCTCATGGAGGCAGGGGACGTTCAAGTTCATCTTCATTTGGACGGGGTAGCAGTTATGGAAGTGGTGGAGGCAGCAAATATGGAATTTCCCGCCGTTCGGAATATCGAGGTTCTTTCTAGAAATATATCTAAATGATTGTGCTTGTATATATGCATAGATATCTTAGCTGTTTCGCTGCTTCTATTTGTTACAGTGTACCTTAAAACCTTAACCCACATCGTTTTTGCAGTTGTTGTTCGTGGACTACCACCTACAGCTTCATGGCAACATCTATAGGTGTACAATCATCTATTATCTGAGAAAATCCTTATTTTGTAGACTAGCATTTATTTTCCTAAACCTGATATCTTACAGGATCATATGAGAAAGGCTGGGGATGTTTGCTTTGCTCAAGTTTTTCGTGATGGGGATGGTAGGATCTTTACATTTCCAACTTCATAGTTTTTTTTTTGTTAACTTGCTTTGTAGGCCTGGTTAGAAGATTGAATAAGGTGAACATCCATAGGTGGCAGATTCCAACTGCTCCTGCTCTGTGTGAATGTTCTTGCTTTTTTTGTCAAAATGCTTTTTTAAGTTTATTTACTGTACAAACCCCTTGTTCTCATCTCCAGCCTATTTCCAGGTCCATAGTCTATTATTTTTTATTTGGGTTCATGTGAAATTTGTGGTTATTCAGTTTGGTACACTTACAATATTTATCCCTGCTTGCAGAGAAGTGCTTAAGGCCTTATCCAAATGTGAGACAGGTTAAGAAATTATCTCGGTCCAAAACGTGTGGCTTTCAAATAACTCAAGAATTCCCAAACAACTTCCAAACACGGAAGGTATATTATGCTTGCAGTTCATTAATGCTTTCATCAACATGATCCTTAAAAGTTTCCAATCCAAGATCGTTGTAATAGAGGTGTATTAAAACTGCAGGAACTGAGGAGGTGCCTTCAAAAGCCGGTCCTTGATCTGATTACGATTCAGAAGATTGACTTCCACCTTTGGAAGAGAACTTGAACCACTTGAAGTTGGAGGACAGTGAAGAAAGTGAAGAAGATGATGAATGAGGAATCCTTTCATCGAAATCTGTATGAGGTCTTTTCTTGACTTCGACTGAGCATAAATTTAAATAGATATATCTGGTTTATTGACCCATGTGGCCCCAGTTCCGAGGCTCGCCTCATAATACCACTATTAACAAAGTTCTTAACCCAGTATTGTTAAGCTTATTGCATTTGTAATAAACCTAAAGAGACGCAACCAAGCAAAACTAGTTGAACGTGAACTAAAGCTAGGAAGCCTACAAAAGTCCTTAGATACATGGTTTAAAAAAAATATATTTTACCTAGCTTAAATAAATAAAGGAACAAACATTAATTCGTACCTACTAGGGGTTAAGCTAGTGGCTCAACTTGGGGGATGCCATCCTCCAGATCCATCTCTGTTCTACACAAGGCACAACGCCGATGTGCAGCTAGCATCCCTGCCAAGCACTCTCTGTACATGCAGTGATGCATGACAGAAGCAATGTCATCTGCGCCCCCTCTTCAAAAGGGTTCATGCACACTGGGCACTCGGTGTTGCATTTGTACCTGGGCATTGGATATGAGAAGGTGGGGAAGCGCTCTACAGCCCTCGCAAAAAGAGGGTTGTGCGGGCGGTGGGGAGGGCTGCGCGGATGGTGGGGAGTCCCCTGATGGGGAGTATCCTGGTGGGTGTGCATCCTATCATTTTTGCACTTCATCAGCAAGAACACCCCAACCCAGAAAAATCCCGACAAAATGAATGTCCGGGAGATATATTGGAATGGGGACGTGGATGATGGGGAAGGTGACCAGGCTAGGGATGCAGGTGATATAGGATCATAGTTCACTACGGGATCCATAGGCAGGGAGGGAGGGATGGTGGGGGAGAGATAGAGACTGAGAAAGGGAGGGAGTGAGGGAGAGATAAAGACGGACTCACTCCCCTCCGTCTTTATCTCTCCCTCACTCCATCCCTTTCTCAGTCTCTATCTCTCCCTCACCATCCCTCCCTCCCTGCCTATGGGTCTCACAGTGAACTATGATCCTATATCACCCGCATCCCCCCTGATCACCTTCCCCATCATCCACGTCCCCATTCTAATATCTCCCGGACATTCATTTTATCGGGCCCCCCTGATCACCTTCCCCATCATCCACGTCCCCATTCTAATATCTCCCGGACATTCATTTTATCGGGATTTTTCTGGGTTGGGGTGTTCTTGCTGATCAAGTGCATAAAGGATAGGATGCACACCTGTCAGGATACTCCCCATTAGGGGACTCCCCACCGTCCGTGCAGCCCTCCCCGCCCTCCGCTCAACCCTCTTTTTGCGAGGGCTGCAGAGCGCTTCCCCACCTTCCCATATCCCATGCCCAGGTACAATCGCAACACCGCGTGCCCAGTGTGCACGAACCCTTTTGAAGAGGGGGCGCATGTGACATTGCTTCTGCCATGCATGCACAGAGAGTGCTTGGCAGGGATGCTAGCTGCACATCGGCGTTGTGCCTTGTGTAGAACAGAGATGGATCTGGAGGATGACCTCTCCCAAGTTGAGCCACTAGCTTAACCCCTGGTAGGTACGAATTAATGTTGTTCCTTTATTTATTTAAGCTAGGTAAAATACAATTTTTTTAAACCATGTATCTGGAGACTTTTGTAAGCCTCCTAGCTTTAGTTCACGTTCAACTAGTTTTGCTTTGTTGTGTCTCTTCAAGTTCATCACAAATGCAATAAGCTTAACAGTACTGCGTTAAAAACTTTGTTAATAGTGGTATTATGCCTCGGAACTGGGGCCACGTGGGTCAATAAGCCAGATATATCTACTTGAACTTGTGCTCAGTCGAAGCTAAGAAACGACCTTGTACAGATTTCGCTGAAAAGAGTTTAGTATCACATTCTTTCATCTGCTATTTGACTGGCTTGTATTAGTTGCAGAGGAGTTCGAGCCCAGACCAGAGACGACAGTGAATTACATGGACCAGCATCTCTCCATCAACAAAATAAGGTGCCACTGATTCTAATTACTCGGGGTTTCTCGCAAGTTGGTTACTTTGAAGCATGAGAATGAGGCACATATTCTTAGCAAGAGGTTTTAGAGATTGGAGCTATTCTCATTTCTCCCTCACCAAATTTTCATGGAAATTAAGCTCCATACTGCAGTCAACTGAGCATCCTTGGAATGAAAAGTTGTGAGCATGTTTCCAGTATTTGCTGAGTCTCTTGTTTTTGTCGCCTTGAATTTTCGTCCTCCTGTGTTTGCTGATGTTTTTAATTACTTGGGTATGATTGTAAAATTGTAATGCAACTCAGTGTAATTGAAAGTTTTTCAAAAGGATTTTATAGAAAGACACTTCCAAGTTCCATGGTATAGTTCTGTGTGCTTTAAATCAGTTTATGTGCATATAAAATGTCTCTCTTGAATAGAAATTTTACCATAATAATATGCTTGAAATTTTACAAACTGAATGTAAAGATATTCACATTATTTTCCAAGTTTTATAGAAAGACACTTCCAAGTTTTTCAAAAGGCTTGTGTATGTTATCCTCTACTGCTCCAACACAACTGTGAGAACACAATGCTTTTGTTTAAAAGCTCAAAGCACTCACTGTTCTAGTTTAGTCTGGGAAAAACTTAGAATGAGATCATCTGATGTTGATAAAATTGGAAAACAATAGTATATGAAGTATTGAACAGATTACATTTGATCCAAGGGTGAGCCCGAACAAGAAACCTACTTAGTACATAGCTGAACCATGATGACCAACTTTGTTTAAAGGGAAATATTGTAATTCAAATGCTTAGTCTCCTATCATCTCCTCACCTTTAATTCTCTCAGCTTCCTTTTGTTTCATGTCATTATTAGTGCTCTTATCTTAGTCTTGCACCTTTTGCTTGTTTCCCCTATTTTCTTAGCTATTCATGGTAGAAGCACCAGCTCAGTTGCAGTATACTGACAACAATTCTTAGCAATTCTAGGTAGAAGTGACAGCAATTCTTGTTTTTAGTTTTTATGACAAATTTGTCAATTAGTGCTTTTTGTCAATTCTTGTTTTCAGTATTTATGAGTTGAAGAAGTCTAGTCACGTGGTACTCAAATAAAAATAAGTGCAGGCACCAAGTAGGTTATGCGACCACCACTTCAGGAAGCCAGCTGCTATGTAGCCAACCCAAATTGGGAAACTTCAAACCTCCAGTCTCCAGATGATATATATAGGTCATCGTTCTAATATACACTTTAGTGCTTTCCAAATTTGTTAAAAAGAGCTTATAGCACGTGCTAAGTTGTGACACCCTTTCAAAGAGATGTTTTATTTGGGAGCTAGAGGAGGGGCCCAGGTTCGAAAGTAGGTTATGCGACCACCACTTCAGGAAGCCAGCTGCTATGTAGCCAACCCAAATTGGGAAACTTCAAACCTCCAGTCTCCAGATGATATATATAGGTCATCGTTCTAATATACACTTTAGTGCTTTCCAAATTTGTTAAAAAGAGCTTATAGCACGTGCTAAGCTGTGAGTGACACCCTTTCAAAGAGATGTTTTATTTGGGAGCTAGAGGAGGGGCCCAGGTTCGAAGTACCAGAATCAATACATTAGCAAAAATTACAGAAAAAGTAAATGATTTGTCTACATTAGCCTGAGAGCTCTAATCAAGGATCTTCGCCTCTACTTGAAACTCTTAGCAAGCCTATCAAAGCTCTTATTCTTGATTGTATCAAAATGAAGCCTCCATGCAAAATAAAATCGACAGGTAACTACAATGCTTAAGCCGTAAGTAAAAAATAAGTTAATTAAATTTCAAACTAAATTATAGAAGGGGAAAATCAAGAATGGTTTACAATCATTATAGGTGGTGACGCAGACGTAGAAACGGTGAGGCCGATCGGATATCGTTCTGATGCCGACGAGCCCTGACAATAACAGGTAAATAACAAGCTTGAATCCTCAAGCCATAAATTTCCCAAATTTGGGAAAGAAAACAATGGAGAAAATTCTCTTGATTGAATAATTAAAAAGTTAATTGCATGATTTACAAAAGGAACTATTATATACAGCCAACTAAACCTATTCTAACTCTAATAAAAAAGAAAGTTTGATTCTAAAAGGAAATAACCAAAAAACGAATCCTTTCCTAATTGTTGTTCGAGTAGACACGAGGCATGTCGATTAGTATCGCCTTTCGTGTCGACTGGGCATGTGTCGACTAACACCGCCTTTCGTGTTGATTGGGCGTATCATATCGTCCTGTCGCCTCGAGCTGTCTGCTCATCTCGTCTGGTCTGCTTCGCCTCGAGTCATCATCTCGATATCGTCCTGTCGCCTCGAGCTGTCTGCTCATCTCGTCTGGTCTGCTTCGCCTCGAGTCATCATCTCGACTCATCCGGTCTGCTTTCGTCTCATCTGGTTTGCATCGAGTTGAGATGTCATCTCGTCCGGCGATGTCGTATCGTCCGCCTGTTCCTTCGTCTCGTCCAATTACTTGATCTCATGTATCAGTCCCTCCTTCTTCGGAAGAACTCGTCTCTAAATTCGCTTCACTCGAATACAACTCGATTGAAGGATGATAATCAGAAATATCCGCCACGTTGAATGTCTTTGACATAGCCATTCCTTCTGGAAGATCCACTACATATGCATTATCGTTGATCTTCTTGAGGATCTTGAACGGTCCATATTTTTTTGGTTTAAGCTTGCAATATGTTCCAGCTGGTATCCGTTCCTTCCGCAGGTACACCATCACCATGTCCCCTTCATTGAACACCTTGAATCGCCTATAAAAAGATGCTAATCCATGAAAGCTTCTTACTTCAGTAGCACTTCCTGGGACTGGTCAATCTCTGATTACCTTGACTTTATCTTCATCTACCTAGATCCCATGCGAGCTTACCACGAATCCCATGAATATCAACTTAGTAGTCAAGAGCACACACTTCTTAAGGTTGATGTAAAGCTCATTCTCCTTTAGCACTTGGAAAACCTCTCGTAGGTGCGACATATGCTCCTTCTCATCCTGACTATAGATGATAATATCATCAAAGTAAACCACCACGAATCTTCCCAAGAAAGGCTTTAAAATTTGGTTCATCAAACGCATAAAGGTACTTGGAGCTTTAGACAAACCAAATGACATCACCAACTACTCGTAGAGGCCCTCACTACTTTTTAATGCAGTCTTCCACTCATCGCCTGGCCTGATTCGAATCTGATGATACCCACTCCTCAAATC